TTTTTTTTTTATTTTTTTTTATTATTTTTTTTTTTTTTTTTTTTTTTTTTTTTTTTTTTTTTTTTTTTTGTCTATGTTTATTTCATGTTTTGTTAATTATGTTAACATATATGCATTCATAATTTGTGGATCCTTTTTATTTTTTCATTCATTAATTATAATAATTTTTATGAAATGAAAATAAAAATCATTTATTTTGTTTACTCATTTGTACACTTAGTTGTAGCTAATTTATTCTTATGATACATATATTTAATAATTTTTTTTTTTTTTAAATCATAATGGAAATTTATAATGGATATTTTTATAAATTACTACAATATATATGGTATAGAAAACAACAACAACAACAAAAAAAAAAAAAAATCTTAAAAATATATATATATGGACTTTCACGAATGAGTTAAAAAAAAATTCTTACATCATACTTTTATTTGAAAAATTATTAAAAAAAAAGAGAGAATACATAGATAGTAAAGTAAAACAAATATAATTTTTTTAAAATAAACGTTTTTTAATATTTGAGAAAAATCAAATAAAAGCTAAATTTTTGTTTATTTATTTTATTTTTTTTTTTTTTATAAATAAAAACAAAATTCTATATCATTATACATAATAAAAAAAATAAAAGAAATATTTAAAAAGGATTTTTTTTTCTTTTTTTCTTCCCAAAAAAAGAAAAGTTTTATATAAAAAAAAAAATAATTAAAGAAATATATTAAATTTAAAATTTATAAAAAAAATAAAATTTCTATATTAGGTACCTTTTTAATAAGAAACTATTAATCTATGCATTTCACCAAATTTTTTAAATTTCCTAAATTTTCTTTTAAAAGAGCGTAATGTGTGATTCAGATGAGAAAAATTTAAAAAAATCAAATGAAAAAGAAGTGTATAATAATAAAAAATATTCTTTAATATCTAAGCAAGTAAATATAAAAATGTATAGAAAATAATGACATAATAAATTTATAGTTTTTTTTCAATTTTTTATGTATATGTGATACTTTAAAACTATATATATTTTATCATTTTTCTTTATAACAGATATTAAATCAAAAGGATAAAACAATATGGAAGTAAAATAATAAAAAATAAAATAAAAATTTTATATATCTATATATTAATGTAAATTTTTTTTTTTTTTTTGAAGTATTTTAAATTCAAGGAAGGTTCCAAATAATGGTCTAAATGAAATTACTATTATGAGCATTTTGCATCAAATATCATCTCAAAATTTGTAGAACAAAAAATAAAGAATATCATTACATATTTGTGTAAGTTCACAAAAAACTTATAGAATAAATATTTTTATAGATGCAATAGTGAAAAAAATATAAAAATTGGTGAAAGAGAAAATAGAATTTATAGTGGAATAGTAAGAAGTAAATATATGGGATTTGGTCATGGTATTGGAAGGTTACAAAAAAAAAAAAAAAAAAAAAAATGATAAAAAAAAAGATAAAAAAAAGAAGAAGATTAAATGAATGTACAGAATATATATTAAATATTTTTGTAAAAGTATCAAATGTATAATTTCATTAAATATTTCTTATTATGTAGAAAAGAAGATTTTTTTTTTTTTTTTATAAAGATCAGGTAATTTAGATGACGTTCAACCAAAGAGTGCAGGAAATAGTATATTAGCAAAAGTTACAACTGGTTTTGTAAAAGATTTAATTAAAAGTTTTGGAATAAAAAGTTGTGAAGATGTTTATATATTACCATATGCAACGGGCATGTGTATTAGTACATGCTTGTTATATTTAAAAAAATTAAAAAAAAATAGTAAGTATGTAATTATCTCTAGAATTGATCACAAAACATGTTACAAATGTATTGATTTTTGTGGCTTAAAATATTTTGTTGTAGATATGATATTTAAAAATGATGAATTATTTACTGATTTAAATAAAATAGAAAAATTAATTGAAGATTATAAAGAAAAAATATGTTGTGTCATATCAGTAACTTCTAGTTATGCGCCAAGAAATTCCGATGATATAGTAAAAATTTCTTATCTTTGTAAAAAATATGATGTGCCTCACTTAATTAACAATGCATTTGGTTTGCAATGTAGTTATATATGTAAAGAAATACAGAAGTGTTTTGATTTGAAAGGAAGAGTTGATTATGTTATTCAGAGCTGTGATAAAAATTTTCTTGTTCCAGTTAATGGTGGAATTATATTCAGTTCAAATAAAAAAAATATGAAGGCTTTAAAAAAAACGTATCCTGGCAGAGCACCAGTAAATGCTTATCTAGATTTATTTATCACGTTATTAGAATTAGGAAAAAATAAAATAATGGACTTAAGAGAACAAAGATTACAGAATTTTATCTGGCTAAAAGAGCAAATTGGCATAATGTGTTCTAAATATAATTTACAACTCATAAAAAATAGTAAAAACAAAATATCAATGGCTATTAATCTAAATCCCTTATATAAATATTGTGGTACAGATAACCCTAAAGTTATCAATTTATTAGGTTCAATGCTTTTTTATAGAAATGTTACAGGTCATCGGGTAATTTGTTCTCCTTTATTAATTAAAAGGAGTACTTTAAAAAAAACAAATGAAAAACAGGAACTTGAAATGAGATACGATAAAGATAAAAGAGAAAATGTTATTAATAATGTAAAATCCAATGAAAAAGTTCAAATAAGTCCAAATCAAATAGATAATGGTAATGATGAATTAAAACTCAATGAAGAAACAATAAATCGTGAAATATGTTTCAGTAGTAATGAAGAAAATTTCAAAAAAAATGTAAATAAAAACACTTGTGAACAATTAAATGAAATAAATACAATTGTTATAGGAAATCATGTATTTCATAATTTCGGTTCTAGTTGTGATTCTTATCCTTTTTCATATATTGCTTTTTCATGTGTGATTGGAATTGAAAGAGAAGAAATTCAAAATTTTGTTTCAAAACTAGATTGTACAATCAATTACTTTATTAATAAATTTAAAAAAGAAAAAAAAAAAAAAGAAGAAATACAAGAAAAAAATAGCAATGAAATAAATCAGACATAATTAATTACATGTATTAAGGTTTTTCTTGTAATTTTAAATATATATATTTTTATTTGGAGAGATTCCTTTTTCTTTTTTTTTTTTTTTTTTGTTTTAAAGGTTAAAAATATTAACAATAATGGTTTCAAAAAAAAATATGTTTTAATATTTTAATAAATTTTACGAAAAAAACAAGGAATAAAAAATATAGTTGTAAAAAAGAAAATGTGTATGTAAGATGAATATAATTTAGGAGCAAATTTGAATCACAAATATATTTTTTCATAAAAATATTAAGAAATTATTAAAATTAAAATAAAAAAAAAAAAAAAAAAAGATAAAAAAAAAAAAAAAATAAAAATGAGATAAAACAAAAAATTTATGATAAAATAGAAAATGTTATTTATTCATGTAATTTTTATAAACGAATATAATAGTGAATATAATTAAACATTTAGGGTACAAAAGAATAATATTTGATACTCTCAAAAAGACTTTATTATAATTCTTTTGATTTCAACAAAATTATGTGGAATATCTACCTGGTCAAAATTTAAATTTTTTGGGTAAATAAATGCTATTCTACAATTGTATTCATTTTTAAAAAAAAAAACTTCTCCAACGGGAATGAAAGAATTAAAAGTAAAATCACTCAATGCGTTATTTATATCATCATCTTCTTTCCAAAATAAGTACCATTTCTCTTTCTCTTTTTCTTTTTCATCTTTTTTTTCATTTAAATGTTTGTCTACTTTTTCACATCTCAGACCACCTCCAAAAAAATTATCAGGAATACTAAAGAAAAAATAATAATATATGTAATATATAGCAAGTCTTTAATAAGAAAGAAAAAATTTTTAATTTAAATAAACAAAAAATATAAAATATGAATAAATTATTATGAAATAACAAAAAGAAATTACTCTTGATCAGTCATTCTAATTTTTTCATATGGTATTGGGTCCATATTTTTTTTTAAATCTTTTAAGAAATATTTTATTTTTTCAATTTCTCCAGTTGGACATTTATTTCCTTTTCCAAATACAAAAGTAACTTGCACACGGTTTAATAATTTATGTACATTACCACTTCTACAAAAAAAAAAAAAAAAAAAAAAGAAAAAGAAAAAAATAAATTTGTACACATATGTATCAATGAATTTAAGTTTCATTTTAATAAAAAGAAAAAAAAAAGATAATATATACATATATATATATATATATATATATAAACTTTATTAAGAATGATCTCGTTTATGTAATTATATTTTACAGTAATATGTTTGAATTTGGCTTTTGAGATGATATAAAGTTCCAATTTAAAAAAGAAGTTTGGCTAGTTTTATAAACTTTTTTTGAATTTATACTTAACCAAAAATGTGGAGAAAATTCATCCAAAATTATACTATTCTTATTAATAGTATTATTATATTTAATAATACCCTTATTAAAAATATTTTTATCTTCCATATTATTATTCATAACAACAAAAAAAACTGGTTTTGATCCTTTAAATTTAGAAGTTAATATAAAATAAATAATACTTATAAAAGCAAAAACAGAATTTATTAAACTCCACTTTTTGGTTCTTTTATGTTCATTAGGTGTTACACAAAAAATAATAGATCCTATTATCCACAAAATTGGGAACTTACAAATCAATCCTAAAAAAAAAAGAATTTGAAGACAGCTTGGATCATCATTTTCATCTTCACGTGAATTTAAGTTTGGTCTATTTGAACTTTGATGAGGTGTATTAAGTTGCGTGTTTGCTTCTTGAACTCGTTCTAACCAATATTTTTTAATTTTTTCTTTTATATCAGTCATATAATTTTTGCAATAAGAAATGATATTATTAGAAATATTTCTATAAGTAAAATTATTACTATTATTATCAGTATTATTATTTATATCATTGTTACGATCATTATAATTTAAAATTCTATTTCTTGTTTCGTTTTCTTGATTTTCTAATACCATATTATCTAAGACATCATTAGGATTTAGTTCATTTAGGCTAATTATTTCATTTGTTCTTTCATTTTGTTCATTTATATTCTCTCTTATATTATAATCATCAACATTCCCATTTACCATATAATTATCTTCACCCATGCTATTTTCCTCATTATAATTATTATTCTGTTCATTTCTATTATCATTTATAATATTTAATTCGGACACTTCATTCTCTGCAATATTTTCATTAGTTATGGGATTTCCTTTTCTTTCAATAACAGTTCTTTTTATTTTATTAAAAATTTTCTTAAAAATATTTGATTCATTACTTATATTAACATTATTCTGAGTTGAGTCTTCACAAATTTGTTCATCCTCTACCGGATTATCGTTAACATTTTCATCTAAATTGTTATTTAATGTATTTTGATTTTCAATACTATAACCACTATTAATTTCATTTTTATTTTTTTCATGAGAATACAAATTATTACTTATTCTATCAAGATTGCCATTAGGGCAAATTATTTCATTTAATTCTATAGATTCATTTATATCATTATTGTTTATTTTTCTTTTTTCTTTTTTATGCTGTTTCTGAAATATTTTATTATCATTTGAAGGTGACAAATGACTGGAAAAATTTACCCTTTTTTCATTAAAATTATTTAAATGATCTTCTTGAAAATCATTCAGTTTATTTTCATCTCCTATATATATTTTTTTTTTATTTCGTGAATCTGTTTTATTGTTGGTTGAAGTCAAGTAGTCTTCCTCCAAATAATTTACTTCTTTTATTAAAGAATAACTTTGCTTCTTTTTTTTTTTTTTTTTTGTTTTTTTTTCATTCACGTAAGGATCATTGTTACATTCTTGTTTTGATTTATGCGGCATTTTTATAAAAAATGTTCAAAAAAAAAAAAAAAAAAAAAAAAAAAATGAAAAACTGAGTAAAGAGAAAACAATAATCAACAAATAATCATTATTGAATTATTGACACCACTAATAAATGTTTAACCATTATTTACAAAATCATTTATTCCATTAACTTCATTTAAATTATTTTATTTTATTTTATTTATTTTGATATAATTCAACAATTTTAATTAAATTTTTTTTGTTCATTTAAGATACAATTTTTATATATTCAATTTAAAATTGCTAATAATTTTTTTTTTATTTAACTTTTACTCATTTTTATAATCATTTAATTTTGTGTGTTTTTTCTTTTTACATTTTTTTTTTTTTATTTATTTTTTTGTGTTATTTTTATTTTTTATATATTTTGAACAATTTATTTGTCTGTTCTTATTTGATTTATAATTCTTTATTCTTTTTTTTTTTTTTTTTTTTTTTAGTTTCAAAGAGGCATAATTAAAATATATTAGGAAAAAAAATAAATATATTAATTTGCTCAAAATTTCTTCTATAATAATAATAGAAAAATGAAATAAAATAAAATACATAAAATTGAAACAAATATAAGGTTAAACATAATATAAATTCATGAAATATTAAAAATTTTTAAATAATTGATGTTACTTAAAGAACAAAAAGAATAAGGAATACCTTTTTAATGTTATTGAAATATACTATATTAAATGTCTTCTGTTTGTGTAAAAATAACATTTTGTTTATAATTTATATGTGTTTAAATACTTAATATTTTTCTATATTATTTTCTGTTGGTTTCATCAAATTTCTAAATATTTATTGTTCTTTAAATTTTAGTAATATCGTATAAAAAATTAACAATTTTTAAATTTTTATAAATGTTTTATGGAATTAATTTTGTTTATTATATTTTAAAATAAGTTAATAATTTATTTTTCAATGTTTTTAACAAAAATAAATCTTCAAAAGTGAAAAAATTTTAAATAAAACATTATAAGTTATTTCCCAATATATTTTTTTTTAATAGTACTCAGAAAAATATTTTTCTAAGGTATGAAATATTGTTTTTTCTTTTAAAATGAAGAAAAAAAAAAATTTGAAAAAAAGATAAAAATAAATAAAACAAAAAAATGACCTATTAAAATTAAAAATTTATTAATTTCATCTAAAAAAAAATAATATATGCGCATTTATTTAAAAATGCCAAATTAATGATATACGTAAGACAAATTATATAAAAAAAAAAAAAAAAAAAACTATTTTTTTTTTTATAAAGAATTGATAAGATTATATAGTAATTTTTGCACATATAATTTTTATTTCAAGGCTTCTCTATTTTTTTTTTCTTTTTTACAGCTAAATAACAAAAGTAAAAAAAGAATATAAATATTTTTTTACTCATTAAATTTCTATTATAATTAGGGTTTTGTTATATATATGTATTAAAAATTACATAAAGAGAACATATAATAAGTAATATTATTTTTAATTTACTTTATTGGAAAATAAGTTGCCCTTTGTATTATTATAGCCGTTATTAAAACTGATATAACTGAAATTATTGTTAAGATAACTAATAAAGTAATACATCTAACCCTATTGAGACAAAAATTCTAAAAAAGAGAGTTTCAAATTATTATTATTATATAAAAAAGTATTACTTTTTTTTTTTTTTTTAAATTTACATATATGGAGCAGTAGCAATCTAAATTTCCATTTGTGCTGTTATCTATTGAAACCTAAAGAATAAAATCAAAAATAATATAAAGATTAATAAAATTATAAAAAAAAAAAAAAAAAAAAAAAGTAATAAAATCAAGTAAAAACTAACCATGGAAATATTTTTTGTTTCACTATAAGCTCCTCTCATACATATATATATATAAATATAAATTTGTATATTCACAAAAAAAAAAGAAAAATAAAATGTTAATTTTTTATTTTTATATACATATATTTAAAATATAATTAATAAAATTCTTTTAAATTACTATGGATTAATTTTGTTTTTTTCAATTTCCTTGTATCATATAAATTGAAAAAAAAAAATTCCACTGAAAATAAAGAATTTTACACATTATATATTAGGAGTTTCACAATTTTTTAGGTTATTAATATACCAACAAATAGATAAATATAATAATTAATATCCATTTTTTTCAGAATCTCCTTTATGTCTATAATTAAAATTGAATATTTATTTATTACTTTTACGGAATGAGTAAACTTTTTTTTCTTTTTTCTAAGGTTATAAATATTATATCATTACATGTAAATATATATAAAAATTATTTCATTAACTTAATATTTATTTAATTTGTAGAAGTGGTAAAAATTAATCTTTTCATTGAATTATTTTTCAATTTTTTTTTTGTTGTTAAATAAAAAAAATTGTTCTTTAACTACAACCATAATTCATTTTTTTTCTTTTTTCTTTTTTAAATTAAAAAAAAAAAAAATAAAAGAAGTGTTACAAAGGAAATATATATCTTGAGGTATATCTTACCTATCTATTATAAATAACTTCTTTTATTTAGATAATATATTATATAAAAAATTAAAACAACACATAAGTATATAATTACATTAGTCAAAAAATTTCCTTATTTCATTGTTATATATTAATACTAATAAAAAATGCTTAAATTATGTTATTTATATTTTTAAAAAAAACTTGAAATTTGAAAGAAAAAAACTTATAAAAAGCCATTTAATCTTTACACATTTTTAAAATGATTTAAAAAAAAATTATAAAAATTAGATATTAAAAATTAAAAAAAAAAAAAAAATTTTATCTTTCAAATTAATAAATAAAATAAGAAACCATCTTATATAAAAAAAAAAAAGGAAATTTTCCTATATTTTTTCATAGAGAAAGAAATCAAAAATTTCTTAATTTCGCACACATACATGTTTAGCTTTATTCTGCATCAAAAACGAAAATTAAAAGAGAAAAATAAGTTTCGATATTATTGTCTTCCATATATAGTTTCGCTGTTTCTTAATTATAGTAATTTCTTATTCGTTAAATAATTTTATCCTAAAAAATAATATTTTTTTAAGTTGGGTAATTATATATATTACATTTATATTTCTTAAAAAGTAAATAATGTACATTTCTAAGTATATGTTTCATATGGTTAGATTTTTTTTTCATTTTTATTATCCATAAAAAAAAAAAAAAAAAAAAAAAAAAAACATCATATTTGTAGTAAAAAATATTTTTTTATATTATTTCTTCGTTTTTTTATTTTTATAATTTTTCATATATTATATATTATATTTAGAAGAAAAAAAAAAAATGAAATTTTAAAATTAATAAATTTCTTTAATAATCATATGGGTTATGCTATGGTATATTTTTATATACTTCTCGGTTTTAAAAATAAAAATTATTTCCATAATAAAATTAATAAGTATTAAAAGAATAAGTTATTTAAATGTTTAATATAAATAAAAAAATAAATCAATTAATATTTATACACTATTTTTTATGTAAAGAAAAATATTCTAAAAATCCTTATTTGCTTTTTCAATAGTAGGTGCTAAGACTTCAGGAAAAGGGTCTAATGATGCTAAAAAAAAAAAAAAAAAATATAGATGTAGTTCTAATAAGGGAAAAAAAAATACTTTTATTTAAAGAAATGATTTTTTTTTACCTGTATATTTCCATTTATTTATAATTTCTTTTTTTTGTCTATCACTGAAATATTCTATATTTATTCTTTAAATAAAAAGAAAAATAAATGAAATTGGCATTTAGGTTAAAATATATATGTTTCTTTTTAAACTAACTTTTCTTTTTCTCCATTTAAATATTCAACTTCTATCATAGGGGGATTTTCATATCTTTATATAAGGAAAAAATATATAAAATAATTAAGACAATATTAAATTTTTTAAAAAGAAAATTTATAAATAACATACGCTAATAATTCCCATGTTACAGTTAATAAGGGGTATCTCTGTTTTATTTTTTGCGAAGAAGCAAAAATAATTAACCTTCTATAAAAAACACAAAAAAAAAAAAAAATGTTAAAAATCTATTCCTGAAATATCGTAGATATTATTCATAAAGATTATAATAAAAAATTTCCTAAACATTTGTAAATATTTATATATAACTTTTTTTTAAAACAATAAAACTAATACATTATGAAAATAAGAATATTTTCTTTTTTTTTTGCTAAATTAGAAAGACTAACCTTGCAACATCTGTTTTTTCGTTTCTTGCTGGAGAATAATATACATGAAGTTTTCTTAAAAAACTTAAAAAAGTTAAAGGAGGGAAAAGTCTATATCTCATTTTCTTCTTAATAATATAACATATTTCTAATTAATTATATTTTTTCTTTCTTTTTTTTCTTAAGGCAAAAGAAAATACATATACGCATCCATATATATATATATATATATATATATATAAATGTATGTTGTAAATTTATGTATATATATTTTTTTTTTTTTTATTACTAATATGGAAGTATGATGAAAATATTCACTTAAATATTAATATATTCATTTTATAGTTAAAAATTTATACTGATAATATTAAATATAATTTTTTTTATTTAAAAACCATAATTTGTTTAGAAGCTTACTGAAGAGTATTTTGATATAAATTTTTTTTTTTAAATTTTAATACTTAAATATGTTAAAAAAAATTATTAGATGAGACAAAAATATAATTAAAAAAAAAAAAAAAATGAGAATCTGAAAAAGAATTTTTGAAAAAAGTTAAAAAGAAAAATATATCTTCAAAAGAATTAAAATAAATAAAAATATACTACAATTTAAAAAAAAATAAAATATATATAATGAACCTGAGTAAATAAGAGATGTAGCTAATTGAAACAATGTAACAAAAATTAAAAAAATATAAAGAAAAAAAAAAAAAAAAAAAAAAAAAAAAAAAAAAAAAAAAAAAAAAAAAAACAAATATAGATAAAAAATTAAAAATGTGTAAGAATTTTATATTGAATTATAATATAAATGAGAATACAATTTGAAATAAAACTTTAAAAATAATGAATATTCATTGACAAAAAAAAGTACAATGCAAATTAAAAGATAAACAAAATTAAAAACAATTAAATATTTAATAAAATATTTAAAATTAAAAAGCAGTTAATATAAAAAAAAAAAGGAAAATAAAAATTTAAATTAATTTAAAATAAAAAATATAAAATTAAAGATAAGATAAAAAAAAAAAAAATAAATAAATAAATAAAACAAAAATGAACTTACGAATTTTTTCTTATAGTTTTAAACACTTTAAAATGATGATTAAGATTTTTTAAACAATGCAATTTTTCTTTACTAAATAAAGCACCATTTTCTTTATTTACTTTATCAAATATAACACATTTTATTCGAGAATGTACCATTGCCATAGCACACATAAAACAAGGTTCATGACTTAAATAAGCAAAATAATTAGTACATAGATATTGATTTATTTTTATTGGTTTGTATATATTTAAATTTAAGTTTTTATCATCATCTTTTAACATTTTTTCATCACATTTACAATTTTCCTCTTTAACTACTGTGGATTTTTTCACATTATTATTATTATTTTGTTCTTTAAAATCTTTCAACTTACTGTTTTCGTATGTTAAAGGTTGTATACATGATTTGCTTAAGTAATTATTAATTTTATTGTTATGCTCACAATTTCTGATACTTATCATTTTTTTTATTTGTAATAAATGCCGTAATTTATATGAAGCTTCTTCAATAGCTAGCATAACGGAATGTTGTAAAGGATGATTTTTTATATTATCACCAGAAGATGCTACTATTTTATCATTGTATGTCAATATACATCCACTTTGACATGTGCCAAAATTTTTTCCAACGTCAATGGAAATTTTTATAAAATTTATGTATTTTTTTATCTGTTCTTTTGTTAAGGTAGATAAATCATAAGCAGGCTTACGATAATAAAGTGGCCAAAATTTAGACCATTCGGAATACTGTTTTTTTGTCATAGGTGGATATCTAGAGACTTTTACTTCTTTTATTTCAATATCTCCTTTATTTATATCTGTTAACTCTTTATATAACTCACTTGGTATATTCTTACAAAACCCTATTAAAATTTGTACATTATCATTTGTTTTTTTACATCTCTTCAAATGATTGTAATTATCATGTAACTGGGTATTAATAAAATTTTTCATAATATTTAATGCTTCATCTGCTAGACTTTTCTTTAATTCAAAACAATACATTGATATTAATGTAATATTTTGAATATAGGCATCAGGAAAAATTTGTTCTAAACCAATTATATCATTTTCCATTATGTCATGAATTTTATAACTAATTTTTAATTTAAAAATATTTCTTGTTTTATATATCTTATATTTTTATTTTATTTTTTGATGTTTTTCTTATAATAAATTTCTTATATTTATATAAAGCCAGATGTACAATATTTAAAATATCAATTTTAAAAATATTAATATAAAAGGCTTGTATTAATTAAAAAATTGTAATATTAATAGCAACAGTAACAATACTAAGTAAAATATCACACTTAAAAGGTGTAAATATAAATAAAAGATTATTTCATTTTTAAAACTTAATAAGGGTAACGGACTAAAAAGTTAATTTTTTATCTACTTTTTTTTTTTTAACTTAAAAATATTAAAAATTAAGAATATATTATTTATACAATGCTTTGTTATATTATTTTTCTCTTTATATATATATATATAAAATTATTTTAATTTTTTTTTTTTTTTATTTCTATGCATTATATTTAATATATGCTATTTAATTTTTAATTTCCTTTTTATATTTTCAATTTTAAATTTAAAAATATTTCGTTAACATTTTGATTCATTTAAAACATTTTTAATTTTTGATAATACATAAGTAATTTTACCCCTATTTCAAATACTAATCTAAAAAGAAAAGTATTTAGTAAACTATTAAAAAATATATTGAAATATTGGTGTTTTACATTTATAACTTTTATTTATGATTTAATTTTAAAAAATACATGATATACAATGAAAATTTAAATGAATCTAATTCGATAAATTGTTAAGTAAAGTTTTATAATATTTAAAATACAGAAAAAAAAAAAAAAGTAACGAAGAATTAAATTTGTATAAAATTATATGTATGAACAATAAATAATATGACATAAAATAGAAAAAAACATATAAAAACACAACTATTTATGAACAAAAAAGAAAAAAAAATGCTAGATAGCATAAAATTATTAAAATGCAATAAGGAAAAATATATAATAAAAAATATTTTAAAATAACCTAAATACAGTCATTGATGAAAAATAAAATTGTGAAATTGACTTATAAAAATATTTAACATATATATATTCTTTTTTGGTAAAGTGATAATTACTAAAAAAAAAAAAAGATATAATAATGTATACCATTGATATTGTAAATGAAGAAAAGTATGTTCAAAGAGTTGGTGACATATGCGGTGAACATTATGTTCCCGTTTCATTGCCAGGTAGATATAAATATAATATAGAAGATATAGAAAATATATTATACATATGGATGGATAAAAAGTATGAAATAAAAAATAAAGAATATAAAGATTTATATATATTTAGCCTAATATTTAAAGAAACAAAATTTTCCTTAATATTATGTAAATCAAGATATGAGAATAATTTTTGTACTTGGCAAATATTATGGTATGCTTGGAGAGATATTTTCAGAAAAAGTTTTGAAAAAAATAATAAATACTTTGAAAAGTATAAAAATAATATTATTGATTTTCAAGCTGGTTGTATTTACTTACTATTTTTATTATATTTTTGTCAGCATGTAGAATCAAACCATTATGCTTATCCATTATATATGTCAACCGAAACAATAAATTTATGTTTGGATGTAACAGAAGAATGTGAAAAAAGAAATATATTTAAAGAATTAAGATTTATTTTAAATTTCATGATAGACTCTAACTCTATTATTTTGAGTTGTAATGACTGCTTAAGTGAAATTTATCAAGATAGATATGGTGCTCCACTTCATATAGAAAAAGGTAAACTTTACGTAGAAAATTCTATTGAGATCAATAATGTAGATGTACAAAAATTTTTTGATTATTTTATTAATGATATAAGAGATTTAAGTGAATTATGTGATGAACAAAGAAAGAAAAATACACTAAGCAACACTTCGACGTACAACCTTCTTTTAAAACTAGAAAACATCAAAAATATAATTAATAAAGATAATGAATGATTTTTTACCAATAAAATAAAACAAAAATTTTTTTAAAAATACATTGAAAGAAGAAAATTTATAAAGGATAAAAATATTTCTATTAAAAAGGAAGAGATAATAATGTTAATGTGTTAGGAGAAAGGACAAGTTTTTAAAAACATTCATTAATATATAATATATTTTTTATAATAATTATTACAATTTTAGTAATTTATTTTAGATTTATTTTTTTAGTTTTTTTTTGGTTTTTTTTTTTTTTTTTTATAAAATATATAATATTAGATTACACCATTGACTTTTTTAATCTATGAAAAATTAAAACAATGTACATACAGCACAATTATACATATTCTTCATATTTTAAATAAATAAAAAATAAATTAAATAGGGAAAAGTAAAAGTTTAAATAAAAAGAAAAAAATCTAATAGAAAAATATTTTGAGTGTAAATAGAACATATATATATTTTGTATAGATTTTTAATTTTTCAATTAAAATTCATCTTTTTCTTAAGTTGCTGAGATTATTTTTTTTAAATAAAATAAATATAAACATTTTGTTTATTTGTAAAAGTTAACTAAAAAGTATAATGAAATCTTTAACTTTTATTTTTTTACTATTTGTTATTTTTAAAAAAAATTTAGTTGAAAACATTATTCAAAAGCAAGATGTTTACTTAGATGATGAATTCAAAAGTTTTACTTATTTTTTTGGTTATTAAATTTTACATAAATTTTTTATTTTTGCTTTTTTGTTTTCTAAAAATATATATAATATATAATTTATTAAATTGACATAATATTTCTACTTTTTGTAGCTTCATCCCCATCAGCAAATTTTTTATCTCGCATTGTTCATAGCGATAACTCAAGATTCGCTCAAGTTAAGAACAAAGCAGGTTCAATGATATAATAAATAAAAGTTTGTTAAAATTAAAAAAAAAAATATAAAAAGTTAATTTGATTGAATATATAGATATACTTGGTAAAACAATAGACAAAGTATATTCAATTAATCAAGTAAACATTTCATTTATAAAAAATAATATTTGAGATACAAAATCATAAATACATTTTCATTATATTTATTCATAAAAAGAGAAATGAATGGATATACTAGGAGAAAAAAAAAAAAATAAAAATTAACATATTTATAATATATATAACAGTAATAAAAAAAGAATTTTTAATTAATCTTTGTTAAAGGTTTCTAGTGTTATTATGAAAGTGTATATTACTCTTTTATTGTTATTTCTATTACCTTATTTTGCATATATTGGAATATTTGGTGAAGAAATATAATTCCGTATACATAAACACTAAATTATAAAGATGAATATTAATATAATTTTATATTTTTTATTAGGTTATACAAGAGATCAAGTAACCCTAACTTTATCATCTATATTAGGTATAATTGAGAAGAAAAGAACAAAATATTATAGGAAAATATATAAATATTTACTTAAGAAATATTAATTTTTTTTTATATTGTTCTACTTTTAGCATATTTTGCGCTTTTAATTGTTTTTTATTTAACTAATGGAATTCTAAGTATTGGATTTGTCTGCTCATTACCATTAGTATTTGGATGTTAAAAAAATTAAATATTATAAAAAAATAGTTGTAATAATGAAAATAAAACTTTTTTTTTTTAGTAACAATTTTTCACCTAGCTAAATCGGATTGTACAACTAAAGCATTATATAAAAATGTCAGATATATCTTTTGCTTTGTTAGTATAAATATAAATAAGGGCATATACATATTTATATACATATACATATATATATACATATATATATATATTATTAGATTCTTGCTAAGTTAATATATGATATTGGAACAAATTTAAGTGGAAATGAGTCAAATTCTTTCGATTACGGGTTTAGTGGATTAATTTACATGAATAGTTAATAATTTTTTAAAAAATATGCATAATTATATATATATGTATATATTAAATGGCTTAAATTTAATTATATATCAATTTTAAAATATATATTTTTTTTTAAGTATTAAAGGGGAATAACTATATTATTTTAAAAATAGTTCATCTAATGGTACTCAGTTTTATAGCATTAATTATTATTAAATTGTTTTCTAAACTTTTTTCTAATAATTCACCTCAAAGCCCTATGTTAATGTAAAAATAATATAAATATAAAAAAAAAAAAATTATGAATATTTTCAATACTAATTAGTATATGGGACAAAAAGAATAAATGATATAATTTTTATTAAATAAATTATAATACTTTAATTATATCTTATAATTTATATCATTTTCATTTTATCATTTTTGGTCTTCATTGCTACAATACTATTTTGTCATTTATTATATTATTCATATTATCATTAGAAGTATAATAATTTTATTTCACTTATATATGTAAGTTTGTATTTTAAATTTTTTTTCTTTAATTTATTGTTTTAAGGCAATCAGACAGATATATTATATCATTCTTGTGTTCGTTACCTATTGCTACATGCTTCACTCAAATTTTTTATCTAATATATAAAACATTGAATCCCATAGGTTAATAAAAAAATACAAATACATATTTATATATAAGAATGTTTTAAAAATTTAAGATATACTCATAAAATATTTATATTTATTTTCTTTTTATAGATCCTAGTATATTTTTTATGATTCCTAGTTCTATAAAATTTACATCCATAAGCACAACTTTTTCTTTAATTAGTAAGCATTTTATTTAGTGTATATATGTATACATAACATATATTATTTATACTTTTTTTTTTTCAAAGCTTGGGTGATAGTAACATATGTACTTAATGTTTTGAGAAATCTTGTTGAAACAGGCATATTAAAAAATATTATAGCAAAAAGAAATAACATATATTCATATATTTTCTTTATATTAATTATTTAATTCATTGTACTTTTTTTTTTTTTCATTTTTTTTTTTTTCTTTTTCTAGATTATAATCACATTCTGAATAAACTTCCAAGTAATATAAGTGAATTTTTATAATATGTTAACTAAAAGTAATAAGGGGAGTTTATAGAATTAAAGAGATTAAATTATGAAAAAAGAAAAAAAGGAGATCTTCCTTATATTTTTTGTTGCTTTCTTATTTTTAATTTTTTTAAATGATTAATTCTTCTTTGTAATGTTGAATATATAAACGTTATAAAGCAACAGAAGGAAAATTAATTTTTCATATTTTTTTTTTTTTTTTTTTTTTTTTTTTTTTTTTTTTGTATAATTTTTCTTTATAAAATATCTAGAAAAATTCCTTGAATAACTTAAATATTTCTTTTGTAATAAATAAGCTTATTTTATTGTTTCAAAGATTAAGTAATGTATACATATCTACAATAATTTATGTGAATTTAAAAATAGATGTATAATTTCCTTAATAATAATATTAAATATATTCTTATTATAAAATTTTATTAAATATTTAAAAAAACGGGCAATAAAAATACACTTGACTAATTTTTTTATATTTGAAATTATTAGAGTAAAAAACTAATAAGCTAAAAATAAAAAGAAAAAAATTAACCTCTAATGATGAAGAGTAATTTTTATTTATATTATTGCATTAAAAATTAATACTTTTTAAAATAGTATAAAATAACGCTAACTATAGCACAAAATATTTTTTATCATAAACTTACGTTTTTTACTTGATAATTATTAAAATATAATATATGTTTTTTTGATGTCATATATTTGTAAAAAAAAAATAACTACATAAATGAATTTCTAAATATATATTTTCATATAAGATATTTGCTTATATAAATTAAATGACGTTTAACTATTTAAATATATATGCTCAAAGGATATGTTCTTTCATATATAACATAAAAAATCATAAAAAAAAATTTTTATATGAATACTTGTAACATTCAAGTTTTTGCTTGTTAATAGTACTTTTAAATAAAAGTATCACCAAATGAAGAAATAACCATTTATACATATAAATGTAATTTTATCTTTTTTTTAATTTTTTTTTTTTTTTTTTTTTTTTTTTTTTTTTTTTTGGAATTGAACTTTTTTTCATATATGTAAATATTTTAATAATATTAAAAAAAAAAAAATTTTTTTTCTACAAGTATTTTTTCTTTATTTTACTATTATTCTTTGTATAATATTTTTATTTTTTTTTATTTTTATATATAAAATATTTATAATATTTTTTTCTTTAAATATATGATTTAAAATTAAAAATTTTATGTATATTTAAAAACATTTTTATTAAAGTAAAAAAAGTGTATATTTTTATGCATTCTTAAAATATTTAAAATATTAGCATCTATTAAAATAAAGAAAAAATACATTTAAAAATACATAAAAAAAAAAAAAAAAAAAAGAGCTAAAAATATATTTAAAAAAAAAAATATTTTTGTATATAAAAATATATTTATATATATATTTTAACACAATATAAAAATCCTTAAGAGTAAAAAATAGCTATATTTTAAAGAATTAGCATATTTAAAAAAAAAAAATATTAACAATGTCAGATCACGAAACATATGATAACATTGATGCAGGAGCATCTCAAACGTTCCCTGTGCAAGCAGGTGCAATAAAAAAAAACGGTCACGTTATGTTAAAAGATCATCCATGCAAAGTTGTTGATTATTCAACTTCAAAAACTGGAAAGCATGGTCATGCTAAAGCTCACATTGTAGGTATTGATATTTTTACTGGAAAAAAATATGAAGATATATGCCCAACATCTCATAATATGGATGTACCAGTTGTTAAAAGAACTGAATTGCAATTAATTGATATTACTGAGGATGGATTTGTATCTTTACTTCATGATAATGGTGAAACAAAAGACGATTTAAGTTTACCAAAAGATTCTGAAGGAAATTTAGATGATGTGGCAAAACAAATCCGTACTTTATTTGATAATGGAAAATCAGTTTTAGTTAGTGTTCTATCAGCATGTGGACAAGAAAAAATTATTGCAGCAAAAGAATTAGCATCTTAAAAAATTTAGTATTATTTTATGGCTTACTGTTTTTATTTAATTTTTTTTTTTATATATATTTTTTGCCTCAAAATAAAAAGAAATATTATAAAGTAGCAATGAAATTTTTATTAAACTAATTCATTATAGTTCTTTAAAAAATAAAAAAAGTTGAAATAAAGTTAATCTTTATTGTTATATTTATTACAAAATGTATAAAAATATATGAACCTATATATAATTATTAAATAGAAGTATAGAAATGAGTTTTATATATTATTATTAAATTATTGTAATTGTTTTTAAGGGAAAAAAAAAATATATATATATATATTTTTATAGAACACTGCTTATAGGATTTTTTAATAAATATTAATGTACATTCTTTTATATATTTAATAATTTTTTCTTTTAAAAAATTTAAAAAAAAAGAGACAATTATATATTTGTATTTTTAAAATTTTTTATTTAAAAATATTTCATGGACGTACACATTTTAAAATAAAACTAATTTATTAATTAAAGATAATATATATTTTCTTTTATTAAGAAATCTTTAAAAAAAAAAAAATCCTAATACAATTTAAATTTTTAAAAATATGTATTATTTTTTTCTTATACAATTAAGGTTTTTCAAATGAACATATATTGCTGATTATTATATAATTTCGAAAAAAAAAAAAATGCATATTTTAATTTTTTATATAAATGCTCTGAAGTTTTTTAAAGTTCTTTTAAAAATAAAATTACTTTTCTTTATGAAATGAAAGTTTTCCTTATTGAAGTGTTATACAATAAAGATATAACTCACAAGATTAAAGATATATAAAATTTGTAAGTAACTTAAGCATTTAAAAAATAGATAATGTATATATCCCTATAAATAATTTACTAATAAATGTCCTATATATGGTATATATATATATGCATATATATAATTTTAATTACAAAAAACTTAGAATTTTATTTCTCATTGTTATGTTTTCATTGTCTATTTTTTTTTTTTCTTTTATTTATTTATTTATTTTATTTTATGTTAGTCTAATAAAGTTTGAACTCCATGTTCATTTATTTCAAAAGAACAAATATTTATTTTATTTTTCTTTTTAACTTTTATATATCTTAGGTTGTATCTTTTTTCATAGAAAGTTTCTTCATCATTTTCTCCTATTTCATAAAAACTCTCTTCGCTTGAACTATTTGTGATGCTTTTATTCTGAAATTGTTTTTGCTTTTTAGCAGAATAATTATATTCAAAAAAAAATTTTTTGTTTATAAATCTTACAACTATACGGTTATATATATACTTTGAATAAATCTTGTTGAAATATTTATCATATTTTTTTAAATATTTATTTTCATTATTTGTTATTAAAACACAAATTTTATATTTTGTAGATATTTTTGATAATATTTTTAATAAATTTATTAGTTCATTATTTAAATCATGATTAAATTCATAACTTTTATATAAATAATTTAAGTTATCAACAACTAAAATGCCCAAATCTGATGAAACATATTTATTGAAATAATTAGTTGACCTAACAGAATAATTTTGTAATTGCTGATAAATGTAATTAACTACATTAATTAGTTCATTAAAGCTAAAAATTTTTAAAATTTGTAAATTTTTGAATACGTCTAAAAAGGTGATATCATATATATATTTTTTTAAATAATGATTAAATAAATTTATAAATAGAAAATATTCATTACTATAATTTTTGTATATATGGAACAAATTTTTTTTTAAATCATTATTTTCTAAAAGTAACAAAAACAAAAAGGAGTGTCTTTCAGAACAAAAACCCATATACGTATTCATTAATTTTTTTATTTTATCGATTGAAGAATAAATCATATTTTTGTATCTTTCGATGTAAAAACTGTTATCTAAATCTAAATAAATAACTTTTCTTTTAGAAAACAAGTTACTGCTTTCATTCACTTTTTTATTATTATTTAAATAAAATTCACTTCCATCTATTTTTTTATCATATTTTTCTATAAATAATAATGTAAAATATTTGATTAATTCATTTAATTCATAAAAGGTTTTATTACTACTATTAAATTCTTTTTTTATTTTATTTAAATTATTTCCTGATTGTAAGAAAAACTTAATTTCTATGTTTCTATTTTTTAAAAAATTTTCAAAAGCAAAATATGTAGAATAAAAAAGATGAAAAAAATGTAATAGATCATTAAAATATAAGTTTACAGAAATGTGTGAACTTAAACTAGTCTTTCCACTGTTTTTTGTACCTGTTATTCCGTTAATACCTCTACATATAAATATGCCATCACATAATGTGTTATAGGAGTATATGTTTGTATAAATTTTATTCTTTAACTCTTTATTTAATTCATATAAATTTTTTATTTTAACTGGCTTAATATCCAATTTACTAATGACAGGTGAAATTATTTTTTCATGACTCACATTTTTTTTTGTTACCATATTTAAGATATTTTTTTAAAAAAAGTTAGGTTTTTCATGAATCTTATATTTCATTCAAACATACTAAAAAATGTTATTTAAAGAAATATAATTGCACTTAAATATACTTCTCCAAAGCTAGAATATAATAAATATATTCAAAGAAAAAACTTTTTTATTCTTTTTTTTTTTTTTTTTTTTTTTTTTTTTTTTTTTTTTTTTATTTTTTTGAATTATATATTATCAAAGACAAAATTAAATAAAAATGAAAAAATAAAACTAAAAAAAAAAAAATTCAATTATTTCTTAAGATAAAAATGTGATTATTAAGAATTCCTTTGTACGTCTTTAAAATAACAAAAAAAAAAAAAAAGAATGCCGATTAAAATAAAAAACATAAAAAGGAAGAAAATAATTTACATTTATGGGTGATTGTTGTATAATTATAATTTTAATTGTTTTGCTTCATAAATGAATATATATAATATTATTATAATATTTTCTTGTTAATAGAGATAAAATTTTTTAATATATATATCTTTACATTTTTTTTTAAACACTAGGTTTACATATTATTGTTAACAAAATATTTTTTAATAAGTATGTTAAAATAAAATAATGAAAAAATATTGAATACAAAGATAATTTAAATATTATTTGCTTCTAATTTTTTTCATATCTCTTTTTATATATTCATAAAAATGTCTAAAAAAAGGAAAAATATATAATATACATGATAATGTAAAATTTTTTTCAATGAAAAAAACATCATAAAAGATAAAAATTACACTCCTGTTATTTTTATCACATAGAAAAAAAAATGAATTTATTTAGTAGTAATTCGGATATTAGTAATGATATGTTTAAAAAAAAAAAAGAGTTGGGAAGAAAAAAAAATAAAAAGAAAAAAGTTTTATTTAGTTGTAATTCAGATAATACTAGCAATACAACAATAAAAAAGTGTGTAGAAAAAAAGAAAAATAGAAAAAAAAGAATTTTACATAGTAATAGTTCTAATAATAATGGTGACCTATCTAAAAAAAGTGAAATAAAAAATAAAAAGAAAAAGGGGAAAAGCATTTTATTTAGCAGTAACTCAGATAATAGTGTTATGTCAAAAAAATACAAAAATGAAAAAAACACTCTCTTTAATAGTAACTCAGATAATAGTGTTATGTCAAAAAAATACAAAAATGAAAAAAACACTCTCTTTAATAGTAACTCAGATAATAGTGTTATGTCAAAAAAATGCAAAAATGAAAAAAATACTCTCTTTAATAGTAACTCAGATAATAGCGTTATATCAAAAAAATACAAAAATGAAAAAAACACTCTCTTTAATAGTAACTCAGATAATAGCGTTATATCAAAAAAATACAAAAATGAAAAAAATACTCTCTTTAATAGTAACTCAGATAATAGTGTTATGTCAAAAAAATACAAAAATGAAAAAAACACTCTCTTTAATAGTAACTCAGATAATAGTGTTATGTCAAAAAAATACAAAAATGAAAAAAATACTCTCTTTAATAGTAACTCAGATAATAGTGTTATGTCAAAAAAATACAAAAATGAAAAAAACACTCTTTTTAATAGTAACTCAGATAATAGTGTTATGTCAAAAAAATACAAAAATGAAAAAAACACTCTCTTTAATAGTAACTCAGATAGTAATAGCACATCTATAATTAACATAATAAACAAAAACGGAAATAAAATAAGAAGACATAAACAAAATAAATACTCTTTAAAAAAAAATAATGATAAATTATCTAGGATAAATTATAAAAATAAAATAAATTTTACTAAAATTAAAAGCTCTAATGATAATTATTTTAAAAAAAATAATAATAATATTAATGAACAAATAATATTTGAAGAGAAAAGTGGAAAAATTGAGAAACTGAATAACAATGAAAGTGACTTGATAAATAACGTCAGCGAAGATAGTCTTACGAATAAAAAAGAAAATAATAAAGAATTAAAGGATTTTAATAAATTACAAAGCTATGATGGAATTCATAATAACTCTGTAACAAATTGGGATAAACACAAAAGGCGTAATAATTTAAAAACTTGTAATAATAAAAATGATAAAAATTTTAAAGATATTTATGATGATGAAAAATCAGGTATGTATCGTTTAATAAATTTTGAAAAATTCAAAAAAAGAGCATATAGGAATCTTAATTTTTTAAGTATTGTAGATATTACTAGGTCGCAAAGTGAATCTATGCAAAGAGAATATAGTGAACAAAATTCAGAAGATGATATATTAAAATTAACAGATAATAGTTGTTCATCTGTAAAATCTTATCAAATGTCTCACAACTCTTTTTTTTCTAATAATAATAAAAGTTCTGTGAATTCTGAAAGTAATAATAAAACATTAGATATATATAATTATTATTATATAGATAATAATAATTCCACGAAGGACAATAATTTAGAGAAATTAATATATAATTCAAATAAATATTATGATTTGTATTCATGCCTATTTAATTTAAATGAAAACACTTTTGAAGAAAGCGAAAAAGAAGAAGTAAAAAAAAAAGAAGAATATAATGAAGATATAAAAATGGATAAGGAAGAAAATAAAAATTACTATAAATTTTCAAAAAAATATAAAAATAAAAGAACTAATTTAAAGAAGGAGGATGATAAAAAAAAATTTTCATTAAAAAAAAACTTAATTTTATATAGAAACTTCAAAAATATAAATAACGAAATATCACGACAAAACAATATAAAAGGATTAAATTTTAAAGAAATGGTATCTAATTTTATAAGAATAATAAATAAAAATATTTTATCCATGAACCAAGAAGATAGTAAAGGGATAAAAAAAAGTAATTACTACAATATATATGATGATACAAGTGAGGTTGAATCTGTATTGAATTTAGAAAATAATTCTGAAGATAAAATTTTGCAAAAAGTTCATTGCTTATGTTTATTTTGTGAAGAAAAAAATAAAATATTATGTAAAGGTGAGTTAGACTTAACTGTATTTAAATATATTGAATCAAATAAGACAAATAATACCGTAATTCAACCATTCTTTATGGATAATTATATTTTCACATCCTTTTTAAATTTTTCTATTCATCATAAAAATATAATTTTATATAAAAAAAATGACAACATTAAAAAGTTAAAAAATTCACAATTCTATAAATATAGCATAAATATGAAAAAAAAGTATAAAATTAATAAAATTATACATTTTGTAGCAGAAAAAATAGAATTAACTACTATAGCTATATATATGCATGGTTATAATTTTTTAAATGATAAAGAACAATTTGTTGCTGTTGTGAATTTTTTAAAGTGGAAGAAAATAAAAAAAAATTATTTTGAAATAATAAAATTAAAAAGAAATAAAGAAAATTTGAAGATTTACGAAAAGTGTTCCTTTTTGATTAATGCAATAGATAAATTCTGCACATTAAATAATATTCATATTGATGATATAAAAGAAAATAATGCAAAGAAAAAATTTAAGAGAAATATGGATAATAAAAAAAATTCATATTTTAAAACTGATAAAGTTTCAGACAATATATTATTCTCTTATGATGTGTACAAAATAGAACAAATAGAAAATTCATTAAATATAAATTTAAAAAATTCTAATTTGCAATTTCTATTTGTTGATCCTTTGTATGTTTCATTAAAAAAAACCTTTCATTTATATCCAACTCATATAACAATACTCTTTTAAAATAAAAAAGGAAAATTTGTCTATTTCAAGTATTTTAGAAAGATAATTAAAAAGTTGAAATTAAAAAAAAAAAATTAATATACAAATATGCAGATAAATTTTTTTATATTTAAATGAAAAAAAAAAAAAAATATACTAAGAATTTATATATGAAATACATAGCTTTACATGAAAAAAAAAACATAGTTTAATAATGATATTAAATTAATAATACATTATTAGTAAAAAAAAAAAAAAAAATAAATAAATTAATAATAATAATTATCAAAATTTTTTACGTAAAACATTATATACTTAAGAATTTAATTGTGGATAGCTTTAAATAATTAATTTTTTAGTAATTTTTAGTAACTTCTCTTTTCTCCTATATATTTAAAAATAATAAATAAAAATAGAAATATAAAAACACAGCATTTTTTTATATGAAGAAAACCTGTAATGGGATTGTGTGATCCATTTACTTCAGACAAAAATTTTCTTCTATTAAGAATACAAGCCTATAAGAAAAGGGAATTTATTTAATAAATATTATCTATTTAATCTTTTTAAATTTTTTTTTTTTTTTTTTTTTTTTTTTAGATTTTTTAGTTAAATAATCTAAAAAAATTTATATTTTATTATTACGTTTTTTTTTTTTTCTAATTTCATAGATTCTTCATAATTTATGAATTCATGGTTTATTATATCATGACTGCATCTAACAAATTTTTTAATAATAATATATAAAATTTTGATATTTTTTTTCTTTTAAAATATTTTGAATAAATAAAATCAACTATTTATAATATCTGCCTATTTATACTATTATTTTTATGTTTATATTCTTTAGATTTTTCTTTATTTATATTTATTATTACTTTGATTTATTTTTTTCACTTTTAAAAGACATTTGTTGTAGCTTTTTAGTTTTATCTATTTCATTCTTTTATAAAAATATGTAAACATAAATAAAAATTAAATTTCTCTTCTTTATATAAAATTATTAATAGAAATGTTTTCATATTTGTATTTTTTAATTTTTCAAATTTCATTTTTCACATTCACTATCTTATAATTTCATATAATAATTATAACGTATATCATTTTTATAATTTTTTTTTTTTTTTTATACTTGAACGCTAAGTTCTACTTTTTTCCACCTATTTTCGTCTCTATCTAAATTTTCTTTCCTAAATTTTAATTATTTTATTTTAATCTTTTATCCTTTTATCCTTTTTTTTTTTTTTTTTTTTTTTTTTTTTTTTTTTTTTTTTTTTTTTTTTTTTTTTAATACCTTCTATTTTCAATTTTTATATATTCCTTTAATTTCTGCTTCTCTTTACATTTAAAATCATTGTATTCTGCATCTTTTTTTCTTAAGTAAGTATTGTCTTAAATTATTAGTAGTTATTAATAAGAATATTTATATATTTTAAAAAAATAATAATTTATAGCTTTTGTTAATATATAAGCTTTTATAAAACAAATAATACATTTAAAATAAATATTTAATTCTTCTATAGAAATTTATAAACACATATTTTTTTATATAAATATATTTCATCGTAATTTATTAAGAAGGTTAATGAATTACCATTATTTTTGCACTTTTCATCAGCTATTATATTATCGACAACAATATTTTTTATATGTTTTTCATTCCTTTGTAATAATCTTTCTTTTTCTAGTCGTTCCCTATTCATGTTTATTTTTGAAATAAAAATATATCATATATTATTTATTTAAAAAAAAAAAAAAATTTTAAAAGATAGCTTCCTAATGGAGCTTATTTTGCAATATAAATTTAACGAAAGAAAAAATGAAATTCTAAAAAAAATAAAAATATGAAGTTTTAAGGAATGAAAAGAATTTTTTAGAAATAGTAGGAATCACTATTTAAAGATATAAATCATAAAAGTGTAAAATTATGATTAAATATTATCAAAATTAAAAAAAAAAATTAAGGAAAAACTCTTTTTTTTTTTTTTTTTTTTCTTTTTTTATTTTGTCTTGCAATAATACCTCTATATATTTAATTGTGATTTTAAGAAAATTCCTTAATCTAATAGTTGCATTTAGAATTTTAATAATGAAAAAATTTGTGACTACATTAGTTAATAAAATAAAATCTATATAAAAAAAAAGAAAGTAATTAAAAATAAAAATATTAATAGAGTTATAAAGAAAAATAAAATAATAAAATCATTATGAATATAATAGAAAAAAAAAAAGATATTTTCGTTTAATGTATACTATATTTTATATTAGTAAAAAATTTTAAAAGAAATTTGTTTTGAATACTGTTATATGCCTTCATTTCTATTTTATATTTTTTACTAAAATTAGAATAAAAAAAATAATATATGGAAATATATGATGTGGCAAAAATTTTTTCTAATTAAAGTTTATATTTTAAGGTTAAAAGAATATTTTAATTGTATTTTTCATGTATTCTTGGAGTTTAAAATTTGTTGTAAAAAAATATAGATTTTTAAATATTTCTTTTTACATTAAATTTACATAAAATTATAATTAATATTTAAGACTAGAAATAAAAAAAAAACCTTTCTATTTAGATATTTGAAATGTAGATTTTTTTTTTTTTTTTTTTTTTTTTTTGTGTAAAAATTTTACAAGAAAATTATGTAAATTTCCATTTAAGAAGATCTGTATTTATAAGTTAAATAATTAGAAGTAAATTTAAACTTCATGTAACACTTTTATATCTTTTTTGATATTTTTATATTAATAACCAATTTATAATTGTTACTTTATAAATATATAAAAAAGAAAAAAAAAAAAAAATATATATATATATTAATATATATATATATATATATAGCACAAAATAGTTTAACAAATCTATTAAAAAAAAAAAAAAAATATAAAATATATAAATAAAAAAGGTGAAAAAAAAATTGAAGTATAATATAAAAAAAAGTGATGTAATAATAATTAGGATAGTTACAATGAAATATAAAAAAAAGAAAAAAAACTGAAGCGAAGAAAAAAAAAGAAAAAAAAAACTATAGCAAAAAAAAAAAAAAAAAAAAAAAAAAAAAGGAAAAAAAAAAAAAAGAATAAAAACTATAAAAAAAAATTTTTAAATTCCAGTGTTTTTCTTGATTTTTTTTTCTCTATTTTTTTTTTTTCTTTTTAATTCTATTATTTTCTATTCCTTTTTTTTTGTTCTCTTCGTGATACATATGTATATATGTATTTAAAATTTATTTTTTTACTTATGTTTTTTATAATTTTTTTTTTCTTATAATTTAAAAGAATCAATAAATTATTAAAAAAAAAAAAAAAATCTAATTAAATATATTGAATTATTATTATTGTGCATATTTTTGTGTCCACGCTTTAGCAGTTTGATGATATTTTGTTCTGTCTGTTTTATATACATGAGCTATTTCTGGAACTAACGGATCATCTACAATTTATAAAAAAAAAAAAAAAAAGACAAAAATTAATAAAAATAAGATAATCTTAAAAAAGCAATATTATAATATAAAAACATTTTAAATTACAAATTTGAAAAACTTATATTCTTTTTCTCTTAAAAAAAAAAATACCTGGATTAGGGTCTGTTAATAATGATGAAATAGAAAGCAAAACTTTTGATATGGTTAATGCTGGACTCCACTGATCCTTCAAAATATCAAGGCATATAGCTCCAGCTGTATTAATATTAGGATGATAAATTTTAGTAGTAAAAATAATCTAGAAAAAAAAAAAAAAAAAAAAAAAAATATATATATATATATATATATAAATTATATAGCAAAAAGGAAAGTAATTGAATAAAGAAAAATAAATTATAATTGAAAAAAAAATTTATATAATGTATAATTTTACTTTTGGTGGCTTAAAAGGATAATCTGGAGGAAATTTGATATTCAAAAAGTATACTCCATTTTCATAAGGGCTTCAAAGAAAAAAAAAAATATATATATATATTTATATAAATATATATATATATATATATATATAAACACAACTGTAAAGCAATATATATAGGTAGTCAATATTTAGAATATATTTACCTATCGCCTGGTCCCATTATTGTGGCTTGCCAAAAAAATAGATCATCTCCAATTGGCCCTGCTGAGCAATTTGTTGGGGGATCTTTATTCAAATCTTGTAATTCCTATATGTAAAAAAAAAAAAAAAAATAATATATATTATGAAAATTATTAGTATATATAGAAAATAGTGTAATATTTATATAATATAAATTATGAAGTCTTAAAAAAAAAAAAAAAATTAAAAGATGTTTTATACAAAATAAAATAAATATTAAAAAAAAATAATAGAAAAATATAAAAACAATCCAAATGTAAAGAACATAAAAAAAAAATTGTAGAAATATATTTATATTTTCAAGAAAACAATAATTTTAAAAATGTTTTACTTTCGTTATTCTTTTTAGTGCCATGCTTCTATATTTTCATATATATTTTGTTTAATTAATAAAAAGAAAGTGTGAAATTATATAATTTTTAAAAAAGAATTAAAAAAAAAAAAAAACGCTTTTTTTTTTTAATTTACTTTTACTTCCAAGTTAAAATTTTTTTTTTTATAAATAAAAAAAATATTTAAAATTTATATACATATATAATATATATGTATATATATATATATATATATATATTTATATATATATAATATAAATTTATATATATGCATTAAAAAAAAAAAAAAAAAAAAAAATGAAAAAANAAAAAAAAAAAAAAAAAAAAAAATGTAAAAAGTTTATGCTCATATATGATGCGTTATCATGAATTTTTTTTTTTTTTTTTTTTTTTTTTTTAAAAATAAAAAAATGAAATAAAAGTTTTACATGAAGTTTCAAATATTATTTTATTTTCTTAATATATTATTATAATTATAATAAAATTTTAATTTTGTTTACTTTTTTATTAAAACTTTTTTATAATAGAATACCCACTTTAATATATGGTGCGTAATATGTGTACATAAATTATTATATATGTATATATATATATATATATATATATATATTATATATATATGTATATATATATATATAAATATTTTTACATATATAAAAATGTATAAATATTTATAAATATATATATATTTATATATAAATTTTTATATATTTTTTATTATATTTTACACAGATTTTAATGAGAAAATTAAAAAAAAAAAAATACACATTTGAAAACTTAAATTTTTTTTCTGTGTACATAATACAATGTTTATAATTTAAAAGAAAAATTTGCAAATGCATCAAATTATTAAATAAAATTAAAAATAACATTACATTTATAAAATGTGAAATATATAATATAAAAAGGAAAATAAGAAAAAATTAAAAAAAAGGAACAAAAAATGAAACTCACGGGGTTAAGCTTAAAAAGAATTATTCATTAAATACATATATATGTATATATATTTTATATTTATGTAAAAAGTGTTATAAAAAAAAAAAAAAAAAAAGGAAAAAAAGAGTAAAAAACATAAATCTCTCGAATTTCTGAAGTTATCAAAAATAAAAATAGAAATAAAATTTAATTAATTATTAAAATTTAATATATTAAAAAAAATTTTTAGCCATAAAATATTATATAAAAGAAATTAAAATTGAAAAAAAAAATTATTTTTATATATAAAGAAATTTTCTGTTGCATTTTTTTAAAGAATTGGAAAAATATAAAATTATGAAATTATATATAATTTAATATGTTTAAATGTAATAAAATTTTATCAAAATATATATATATATATAAAACTTTTTTGTGAAATGTATTAAAATTAAATTAATTATTACTGAAAAAATTTTTTTTTATTAATATTAATACATAAATAGGATAGACTTTAAAAGGAAGATGCACTTTAATACAATTACCTAATATACATAGAAAAAAAAATACTAACAGTAAAATATATTAATACTAAGAAGTATAATACATATATGTAGCTATATTTTATATATATGAATATAAAGATATATTATTTTATTACAGTAATCTTTGTATATCTTTTTTTTTTTTTTTTATTAATCTAGTGACAAATATCTTCAATTTTTTTAATTTATAAAAAATTAATAAATTTTAATTCATTGAAAAGATATTAAAAAAAAAAATTAGATAAAATGTAAATAAAAATATGAAATCATATTATATTAAAATGTTCTTATTATTAGTAAGTACATTTTTATTGTGTAAATCTAGACCTATAAATATTAAACTTATTAGACTTTTTCTTTTTTTATATAATATGAATTATGTATATAGATGTATTATGTATACTCATTTCTTTTTTTACTTTTCTTCTTCTATTGTTAGTTGTTATCTCATTTCAATTTTTATTATATAAGGTAAATATAAAAATTGTTCATATATATATACATATTAACATTTAGTTCTTATGTTTTTCTCTATTAATATTATTCCTAGTAGAATCAAATAAAACTATAATATAAAAATTTATACTTTATCATAAAATAATAAATTACATTCAAATGTAATGATGAAAAAGGATATAATAAATGTACATATAGATAAATAAATGGATTAATAAATATATACGTAATATAAATTTCAATTATTAGGCATTCTCTTAAAATTAAGATAGGTAGCAAAAATAAAAATTTTAAAAACATAATAAGTATAGAAAAAACTCATAAAAATACACACACACTAGTTCCTTAATATTATGCATGCAAAATATAATTATATCTTTGTTTTTAATAACTTTTAATGATGTTATTTGTATTTATCTTTATAAGGATACGATAATAAAAATTCAAGTTGATGCATTAATTAGTTTAATTCCAGGAAGACACTCTTTTTAAAATTTTTACTAATATTTATTTTTTTTTATTAGTCAAGAGTATTATTGAATATAGCTTTTCTTAAAAAGAAATTTTTTTTTTTTTTAATTATTCTCAAAAAAAACAATTAAAAATTAAAATTTTTTTTTTTTTTATGCACTCATATGCGTTTTTTTATTTTTTTTTTTAATTTGGTGTAGACAGTTCCATGTTATGTTAAAATTTTACTAATAGTATAAAAAAATAAAAAAATATATCACATTTTTTTAAAAACAGTAAGTTCTACAAAGATTCCTTTAAATGTATTTTATGGTGATATTTTCCTATTTTTCTTTATTTTAATGTATAATTTTCATTTTAAAATTATTAATCTAATATACATACTTTTACAGTTTAGTAGACTTTTGTGCTTTTTACATAAATTATACATAAATATGAAATAATAAAATATTAATCATTCATGAATAAATTTGAAAAATTTTGACTTTAAAATTATGAAAAACTTTTGAAAATACACTACGTATTATTAAATACTTTTCTTATGGTATTTTTTCCAAAGTTTAATTTTAATTAATGTTTTATCAAGAAATTCATTAAAAGAAATGATTATTATTAATTATTTCATCTAATTAAAGCTATAAATTTTATTTTAAATATATATATTTTTTCTTACCAATATCGAAAAAAAATTAATGATAATTAGTTTTTTTGTATGAACAGCAATATATAAAATCATTTATTATATAAAAAAGCAAGGTAAGAAAGAAGATAAATAATTCGAAGATATATTTTTAAGAATTCATCACCTTTAAGAATAAAAGAAAGGTTTATTTTTAAGATTATTACTTTAATTTTAATGAATGTCTTTATTTTCCTATTATTACAAATAACTGTTTTATTAAATATAAAAGAATTTTTAAAAAATTACTTTTTTCTTTTTTTCTTATTGAATATATGAAGCATATTTTTAACAAAAAATTTTCTTTAGTAATTAAAATGTACAACAAAAGATAAAACTATATTCATACAATAAATAAAATTAAAATAAGATATATGAATATATAGGTCTACAATTGTTATATACTTTTATACATTTTATTTTTAAAGAGTATAAAATGGTATAATAAATGTACTTCTCTATGTCTATTTAAAAGAAAATTTAGTAAAAAAGGAAAAAAAAAAAAGATTATAGTGATAATACATTTTAACATAAATTTTAAAATTTCAGTTTTTTTTTTTTAAGGTTCTATTTAAGTTAAAAATGAAAAAATATAAAAAAAAAAAAAAAATATTTATAATAAAAAATTTTATAGCTTGCATTAGAATTAAATAGAAAAAAAAACTTATTTGTTATCTTTCACTTATGAAGAAAATAATAAATTCAAAAAAAAATTCCTATTTTTTATTCTACCAATTCACAATAATCAAACAAATTAATAATTTTTTAATATACTATAGAATATAGTAATATAGGTAAAAGAAATAAATAAAAGATACATACTTCCTTTTAATTATTCTTATAAATAATCTAAATTTATAATTATTAATAACCAATTTTATATAATTTGAAAAATATGAAAAAAGTGATATATGAAAGAAGAAAGGTTAATATTAGACAATTTTTTCCTTGTGTACATGGAAAATTATAAAAAACTTATATAAAAGAGAAGCTTATTATCAAGTTAACTCATTAAATGAGAAAACAAAAACAAAAATAAAAAACTAAAATAAAAATAAAAATAGTAAAAATTATACTTTTAACTTCAAATAAGAAAGACTTTGAAGAACAAAAAATGTAAAAGTACAGAAAAACTGTTATAAAAAAATAGTTTTAGTGAAATACTTTTTTTTTTTTTTTTTTTTTTTAATAAAAT